AGAGGACAGACTTCTGTAAAAAAATAAAACCAGTAACGTAAATCTACTTTTCAGATTCAGGATATTAATAAAGGATAAAAACCTATATAGTAGAAACAGTTACTAGAAAAATGAAAGGAACCATGATATAATTTGCTTTCCTTGAGGTCAGTAAACAGAGAAATGATGCACTCAGGACACATGTCAGATCATAGAGTACACAGACACCACACAGTACACAGAAAAGCACAGAGAACACACACCACATCAGAGAGTACTTCACAAAGCAGACACACAACATCTCAGAGTATTCACACAAAGTTACTGACTACTCACCTATCACACAAAACACACACAATAGGACAGAGTACACACAGAACACCCACATTACACAACACACACACAAGAAGAGAAAGTGCCTACAAAACATCACATAGTACTGTGAGAAGCCAGAGATCGATCAAAACTAGTTTTGAGAAGGACTGTGGTGCTATCCCAATAGAAACCGACCCTTAAGGAGTGCAATGCAAGCTATATAACAACAAAAACAGACTCAAGGAATACCAAACCTGAATCCTTCTGATCACACAGAGAATTTTGGAAGTATGTTGTGAACTTATTTTGCTTAGTTGGCTTTATTTATTGGATTGTCCATAAAGGATGAAGAGAACAGGAAAAAAAGCAAAAATGAATCCTGAAGAAATCATGCTTGTCTTGATGACCACAAAGTTATGGTTTATACAAAAAAGGGGAAATGTGGGATGCCAAATATTAACTTTAATAGTAATAATAAACCACGTTATGTCTAGATAAGAGGGAAGTTGATAGAAGTTGGAATTCACCCTGTAGTACTAAGTCAATCCTTAAATGTTTACAAAGGGAGGCATTCAGGCAATTCTTAAGAGTCTACATAGTTGTTAGTTTGTATGTACTGAATCTCTCCCTCCTGAGTTAAGTATAAGGTAAACAACAAAGAAGAATTCAACCCCATTGGTGAAATATTTCTCTTTGTGATCTACTTGCCCACGGTCCTTCCTTATTGTTTACTTCCTGTTGATTCTTTATAAAACCACAGACAGGTGTAGCATAAGGGCTGCAGTTCTCCCAGCTAACAGCCCCTTGTGTCTTCAGGCTTTCTAACCTCACTCGCCATTCCTGTGTGTTCCCGTCCCAGTCTTTTCCTTCAGGCGACACCACAATACAATCCCACAAATCACACAGAACAGACAGATATCACAAGGTACAGACTCATCACCCAGTAGAAAGACAACATGACATAGTAAACACACGGCATCACACTGCCTCAATGACAGGACTGTGCACACAGAAAAAGTTCTGCACGGAGCAGCTGTCTCTTCAAACAAACAAATTTAAAAAAATGCCTTTTCCTACTTCTTGCACGGTAATGCAAGTACTGAGAAAGATCTTAAGCAAATGAACAATTAACCAATGCACTGGCCCAAACTGAGTGTCAATCCAAATACTCAAAAGACTTTACACTTCCGACTTCAGAAACTGATGTATACACTTAGAAGAGTTGCAGAAAAGAATCCATTTAATGTCACAAAAACAAAAGCAGAATCATAGAATGCTATAACTATTGGGTTGTTATGATTCTACATTTTAGATGCAAATTAAGCCACTGTTATTTAGAGCTACCCCAGTAGTAAATAAATAAAAATATGCATAAATACATGCATAATAATATATGCAAAATAATTTATGAACCATAATGCATTAAAAAAAGCTATGCACATGTAATTGCTAGAAGACAAGTGCCAATGCATGTGCTACTGAACACAGAATTTCAATATTTTGGTGCAAATTAAAAAGCACTATTCAAACACTAGGAACACTTTATGTGTACTAAGAGGATTACAAAAGGTATAAAATGCTGTTTTTACCTATGAAGTCCAGACTTTTCAGTGTTTCCATCATCACATCCATGTAGAGATTCTTCTGAGCAACGCTGAGCAAATCCCACTCTTCCTGGCTGAAGAGGATGACTAGGTCCTCAGACAACAATGGCTCCTAAAACACACAACATCTTCAGGATCAGAGTGGTACTATGTCCCACAATGGTTATAAGAACAAAACATGATATGGAAAGACTGAGAAAACGAACAAATGATAGTCACGGAATCAGACCTCTGACTGGTTCCTTGACGTATTACATTCACTACTTCATGTTATCAAATAGGACAGATACAGGGGTGCGGACGAGTGAGTAGAAGAGGAGTGGACAGATAACGAAGACGGCATTAGATCAGATGAGTGGAAGAAGTGTCCAAAAGGAATGTATCATTAAGCAATATATGTATACTGGTACATGAGGTGCATTGCAGAAAAGAATGGGAAAGGGAGAAGAAGAGGGAAGAACATGTAAAATAATGACAAAAACATTACAATTTATGACATATCCTATTTTAAAACACTCAAGTAAACAAATCCTGATACACCTGAGAGAAAAAACAATCAACAAAATTTCTATCCTATGGCAGAAATTTAAGGTTGAGAACCCTTTTTATCCAGGACTTACCATTTCCTGGCTCTGCTTTCTGCAGTTCTAAGGAGAGGTCTTCAGTAAAACACCAGGAAATCCCTTTAGGAAGGGCCTTCAAAGTGTGAGAGGAACCCAAGATACTCTGGAGGCAGATGAATAATGTTTGGCCCACCCTCCGTTCACAGTGGTTGAAATCTTCCTTGCAATTTAAAGAAATGTACAATGGTCTCTCTTGGTCCTTATCTGTCTGCACTGGACAAGTTCTCCTTCAGACCTGAAATAGACAATGTTGAGGAAAGATGTTCAGTCTGCAAGAAGAAAGGGTGACTCACTGAGAAAAGAGAAGCCCAGGGCTCTGGGAAAGGCTGTACACAGTCAAGACAGCAGGAGCAGAGGCCTGGGACTTGAAATGGGATCCTGCAGTCACCTGCTCATCCTTCAGGGCAAATGTAGAGAAAAACACAATACATGCACCAGAACAGCAGAGACTCACCCTGCCTTTACTTCTGGTTTCTTAGAATATAGCTGTTTTAGAAAACCGTCCTAAAGATGAAAACAAAGACCTCAATCCTCACACTAAAATTTATTATTTATCTTCATATTTGCTGTCCCGTACAGTTTATTTAGGCAGCTCTCGTGGCTAAGAGGCAAGAAGTTGCAATTGCAAAGGCACTTGGTTGACAATCCCGAAAGTACATGGTTGAAGGCCACCAGCTGCTCCGTGGGAGAAGGACGGGCAATGTCCTCCCGTGAGATCAACTGCCTCTGAAAACCCACTGCAGGACCCAAATCAACAGTATACAACATCAACACGACAACAGCTTAATTCCCCTCAAGTCTCTGCCATCTAGTGGAAACGGGAAAAGGATGGAGGTTAAAAAAAAAGAAGGGTTCATTAAGGTCTTTACAAAGTGTTTACCTCTTGTGACTTAAATGGTAAATACAGACACAGGCTGCTGGCAAAGTGGGTCTGAAATTTTTGAAATATCAGCGTTCCTCCCATAATCTATCCTCCTCTTAACTTTTTTGCACGGTTTACAATCAATAAAAGAACCATGTTTTCAACCACCAACACACTCAAATCATTTCACAAAAGGAAGTTGTACAAAACCCTGAAAAGCTGTCAGCACCATTTCTCATTCTCTCTCTGCTAAAGAGTCCACCTGTCTCATAGAGGATGTTGCATCAGGTTTAAATCCTGAAAACGGCATGAGAAAGGACTGCCCTTTGTACAGAGCAGCTGGTGGAT